TATCGCATGAGCTCTCTTGGTTGCACTGGTGACTCCTCGAGTTCCCTTTCCAACTTGTCGATGTACACATTTGCCAAACGAGGTGACAGTGCTGATCCCATCAGTGGTCCAAATATTTGCTCGTAGATACTGCCGTTAAATGTAAAATATGTGGTCCTTACTGTCAGGTTGATCAATAGTATTAACCATTCTTTCCGTATCCGTTCTGCCCGCAGCATGTCCTCTAATCGCTCCAATTTCTCCAGCAAGGCGCTTACCGCCTTCTCGCCTGAGATGTTTGTGTACATGGATTGTAAATCGAAATTCACCAACAGTTTCGACCCCACCAACCCAATATTCTGGATCCTTTGAGAAAATTCATATGAATTCATATGCTTCAAGCAAATGAATTTCGCTAGTTTGTGTATTGCTCCGTGCTTGTTATTGACTATCAGTCTTAGCGGATTTCTTTCCTTGTGTATCTTCGGTAGTCCGTAAGCTATCAGTGGCCTTGCATCATTTTTTATTAAAGATGTCATCCTCCATTTGTCAATTTGCCCATTATTATGCATTTCCTTGAGCATATTCTTCAGTGTCCTGTTGATCTTCGTGGTTGGATCCTTCCTTAATATTTGATAAGTATTCCAGAGGCAAGGATACTTTCCATTTTCTCCGTGTATTGTTCCTTGTCCATTACAATTGTCGCCCCCTCCTTATCCGCTTGGAGAACTATTTGATCATTCTTTCGTCTGTGGCAGTTGGTGCCTTCAATAAAGAACTATCAAAATTTCCCCGGGTTGGCTTAGTCTTGCACTGTATTATAATCACATAACTAAGCAATTTCTTGTCATGCCTCTTATTTATCAGATCCCGAAACCTCTGTGACTTCTGGTCTGTCATGTACTGGAATTTTTAAAAATCATCTAAAGTAAGAACATTAACAAGATCCTTCCTTAATCTAGACTTGAGATCTATGAACCTAAATAGCTTGCGCCTCTCAGTTTCGTAACTTTCCTGGAATTTCTGGATGGAGGCGTAATAAGGTATTTCATTAACTGTGTCCGAATGGCACTTGTTCATTAGATTGCAGAATCGGGGAACGATACCATAAAGTTTACAACAATTTAAAAAGGCCAACTGGCAGAATGACTTACAATAGTATACTTTGTTCGGTTGTAATTAGTGCATTGCTTGGCATTCTTACTTTCATAGTTTGATCGAGGATATGAAGAACAAGATAATGTGCCCTTTTGTGTGGTCGCAGTCTCCTTTCGTTGTATAGAAGTTGTTGACCTTGTTTTCGCAACTTGGTCATAATGGTAGAAAAACTTATAGAAACGTACATTGTAATGAGTCTATTGTATACATACTTATTTCCAAATTTGGACTGTGGACGTGGTACATTCCCAGACGTTTCGCCGGCATCGAAGTCGGCATTGTCAGTTAGTTTTATCATTCGCAGCACTATATTACAATTCGTCAAAGGGACAAGTGAAGCCGATCCTTTGACCAAACGTGTGCTAAACAGTTATGGTATCTCTCATTCTGCCCTTGCCTATTCACATTTCCTATCTACTCCAATCACGCCTTCACTGTCACAATATTTTACTTACTTAAATAAATTTAGTCGTGTGTTCTTTTTTTTAGCGGCTTTCATGAGAACTCTCCGCACTCCACGCTGGCCTTCTCACCGCTCTTTATCCTTGTGCTGAGAATGTTGATCGGAGTCTGCCATATTGTTACGCAGTCCTCCTTACCTATGTCTTACCCCAGTCTCTCTCTTGCCCCGTAAGATCCGTCTGCCCTCTCTCTGGTTCACATATTTC